CTCCTTTCCAATTAAATCATCGATCTATGGCTCTACTCTAATATACACGTGTAGCGTGTTTAATACAATACACAGAATTGTAGTCAAGTCGACAAGGAGGATACATGATGAGATATCAGAAACCCATCAATCGCACTCAGATCTCTTAATCTGTCGGCAAAATCGATTCACTGTCTATCACAGCTCCACAGCTCAATATTTCAGAAATCATAGGATTGAACAAGTCAGTCCACTCAAGTATTGTTCACACATGAAACCAAAATCACCAGTATGACAATTTGATGGATTCAGTTTTAAGACCATTTAGATGAGACGACTTGTCAACTTCAGATAAGAATCTACTCATCATATAAGAACAGTGGAATGCAGGAACTACTGGAACACGAATGGTTAGATCATCATCGGCATATTTAATGAAGCTGGCTTTGGGAGGATCCGGAAGATCAACCAAACATAAAGACTGGCCCTATTCAGGTAGGTAGTTACCTGGGGTTCTAGTGGGAAATCGTGACCAGTAGGGTGCATCATATCGGGTGTGAGGACAAATACTCGCCGAAGACATTGGCTAGCGTTTGCTCTATATCGTCAATTAGCAGACGTTGGATTTCATGGGCCATTGGATCGGGTCCCTGTGGCTTAATGGTATACGTGCTTAGTCTATTAGCACACGGAACCATGATGAAATTAAACAGAAATGGGAAGAGTGAACATCACTGACACTCTCACCTGGCTGATTGCATGAGTTATGGGAGTGGAGTGAGTTTCTTGGTCAGTGCAATGTATTTTCCCGTAATTCCATCCATTCACAGCCAAACATCTCCGTAGTACCGCTCGGTCAACCGAATCGAAAGGTACATTCAGGTCGAGAAATATGACGATTGTTGTAGGGACGCCGGTTCCAGAATCTGTCGAAGAGTGAAGATATGATCGATACACCCTCTTTCTAGTCTAAAGCCTGTGTGATACTCTCATGGTTTTGCCTTGCGAGAAACCTCTCAGACTTCGAATGATTATTGAGCCAGGAATTTAAGTCAAAATATTGGTCGAGCTAATCCGCCGGAGTCAGTCTTCACGCGTCTATCGATTCGAATGAGGTAGCAGAAATCCACTGGATTTTACTAAATTCCGGTTTCAGGTTATTAACAGCCTTTACACCTGTGTCTACAGCCAACTGCATATTGTGCGAGGCTTCTTCAGGAGGAGTCTCGTTATCGACCTCAGGTGCTCGTCTCGATATTTCTTGCTTAAATAGAGACTGTGTGTCGATCTAGTTGTGGGCGTGACTGCTTCGCTGACAACAGTTTCCATTGTCCGTTTAATAGTGAGCATAAAAGTGTGCGAACTAGGGAGTTCATGGAGTCAACGCATGTGTTCCAGGAGGAGTGGAAGTCTTCTACTCACTCTCGCCAACGATACCCCATCGCCATGTGGTCAATCGGTGTCGAGTATTGACTCAGGGACTGAAGTGGCCAGGTTAGGCAATGTCACTGTTTGTTCCTAAAGTTGGTGCCGACCAGGAACGAGGATTGTCTGAACAGATCTGTGGGAGACGATCTCCGTTGTCAGTTTGCGACAGAGAACTTTGTTCCTGCCACCTACATACTCATCAGTCTCGCATGGGTAGTACACTTAGGCGCCGAACTCACCTCATAAAACAACTATATCGGAGCGTTTTGCTATTTGCAGCGAACTAGACAGTCTCTGATACCAGAAATCTGTGATCGCAGAATATAAAGTCAACACAGACTAATGACAAGCCATTTGTGCAGATAGCAGCAGAGAATTCAGTAAATTCGTGCGCAAAGCTAGATATATCAGCGAGACCTCAGTCTGCAGTCACCCAAACATTTGTTATGCACATATAGGAATATTCACTGAAGTGCCTTGGACGACACCACACCACACCACACTGTCTCAGTGGAACAGTCTATATTGTCATTGGAAGAATGAGGACATGCATGATTAGATGTAGAAGACGTTGTTTTAATAGAAGTGGCTACTCCTCTGTCATGCGTTTTCTATACACCATGCATGTCCTGATGGAAGACTTCATATTCATTGAAAGAGATTAGATTATCGTCGAATGTTGTGAAGCCAAGTCTCTTGTATAGCCGAAACACCACCATTCTATCACACATGTGAGGATATTAGGGATTGGAGATAGTCGACTTTGTTAGGCAGAGACGTAATGATGACTTCACGGACAGTCATATGATTAATGAAATCAGTCTGCAAGACGTTGTTTGCTGCAAGATTACAAATGATGTTCCCCAGACATGAGTTGTTCTCCGTCTATGTAGAAGATGGGCTGACTCGTCTGGTCGTCTCAATGTGCCCCTTTCAGTTGATAATAATTATTTGATAATATTGATCGTAGTCATGAGGAAAAGGTATATAGAATTACCAAATAAACAAAATAAGTAAACGTCTATCCCTCCCTCTACGGCGATCAGTTTAGACTACTTATCTTTCATCCTAAAGCAGAGTGAATGAATTTCATGGCTATCTGATTGAAAACGAACCCAATCCACTCGTCCTGCTTTAAAATAAGGAACGTTTGTAGTTCTGATTGACTTCACTCAGAACTTGACATCCTAAAAGCAACGACCGCAGAAAACGATCACCCTAACCGATTTATTGACACCAACATGAAAGATAAGCAGTCTAAACTGGTCACCGACTCACTCTCAAAGAAAACCTTATTCATGCACATGGAATTCAAAGGTGATCAAGCATCAGATATGCTCAAACATCGTCTCTCTCTCTCTCGAGCAGTCAGTAAGATGTTCTTTTCAGCGAAATTGCATATGACGTTCACCAGGCGAAAGTTGTTCTCTACCTCTGTAAAAGATAAGCTTCTCCGTCTGGCCACCTCCATGTACATCTATCAGTTCACCTACTCTTGTGGAGCAAGTCATATTGACCGTAGTCGGAGGACGCTTTCCACACGCATAGGAGCACATATTCCAGCATCATGGTTTTACAAGTGAGAAAGGAAGTGTATACGAAGCTTTATTCTGGAACACCCGGTCGACTTCTGTCACTCTGTCAACACTGAACATGCTTTCAACATCATAATATGCAGAATCCATGATAACTTTCCACATGTTTTCTTGGTTAAAGACTAGTAAAGTCACAGGAGGCTTTAGAAATTCATGACTTTAAGTCAGACCTTTGTGTAAAAAGAAGTATGTGGAATCCCTACATCTGCCTTGGCCGTGGACGGATAGACATACATTTATTTTGTTTATTTCGTTATTCCATGTACCTTTCCCTCATTACTACGATTATTACTATTATTATTATCACCATCATTATCGTCATTATTATTATTATTGTTACTATTCTCACTGTGAATTGTTTCCACTTCACCCACTTGTCATTCACAACCCAAAATTTTTCTTTTTACTTTTTTATTCCTACAACATTGAATTCTATCTCATCAAATTTCACACCATGTTATGTAATATTTTATATTCGCCTACCAATCCTATAGCTATGCTCCACTTTCCAAAATATATACATCTTATATATTATTCTATATATGACATTAATTATGTTGCCTCTCGACATTAAACTGTGATTATGATCACAAATATTTCAATTGCATTTCATACTACTACTAATAATAATACTATTATTATTTCATGTATTCACACCTGTGACCTAATTCCCTCACCGGATATAATTTCTTATTAAAAACCATATACATATACGATTGTACAGCTTGATAATAAATTCGTTGAAAAGAGAGTCTCTTCCCCCGATATTGTGCACTCGTAATACAAACAAAACATTGAACGAAATATTTGTCAACACATAGTTGAGGTTTTCATCCCATCCACACAATCCACACCACTTCATCTTCACCTTTTTTGTGGTTATGATCCTCGAACTTTTAGTACTATCACCTCACTTGACCTACTTTCAAATTCTTATTACCCATTCATTCATTCATTCATTGAAGTAATAGATCCTTTTCACTCTCTACTATTCAACACCTGACTACATCATTCCTCACCAATGTTACTTACTCTCACTTCCAATCAATTACTCATTATCATTGTTAAAAACAAGTATGTCCACATCGCTAATTTAATTTAATTCAATTCAATTGATAATTTCGGTACTATTCCTTTTGACAATACGAGTTGAGAAGTATCCAGGAATTAATAAAAATGAATTATCCCGGTACATTTGTCATTCCTGCTTTATTCGAATTAATATTCTCCTACTACACTAGCTAACTGACGCAGTATTTATTTATACCTGTCCGAAGTCACGGAAGCGAGACCAACACTTCCAATTAATATATAAAGCTACTGTTAAAGTTGCTTTCTGTGCTGAATTCCACTAGTCACACATACCGTCGTCACCCAAAGTGCACCAAAACGCACAACTCAGAATGACAAATCGACTGACAATCGAATGTTAATCAGCCCTCACACCTGACCAATACACTGGTTAACAAACACTCGATATATCTTCCAATGGAACCGTCTAATAACCTACACTTCGGACAGTTCTCAGTTTATCCAGTGGTCACCATGGAATCAAATCGAAACTCATTAAGCTTAAAGATAAATTGAGAGTGAAAATAAGGATGATGGGAGATCATTCGCGAAATCCTCATTCTCATACATGCGTTGTCATTCTAAATAACTGTCGACTATCTAATCAACTCGACTTGGATACACTCTACTCTCCTTCGTCATCATTCCAGGCTGATTTGAAAGCTGACCTAGCCCACAAATCTATTCGCCTATTTCTCCTACACACAATATCAACTAAGTTTCCTTGTAATTATACGAACACATCCACCGTCTACATCATACACTGCCTACGTTGACCACGTAATATAACTCTGAAACGCAAATGTCACGCTTACCGAACCACGAAGTACCAACGAACGACCAACTCACTCACTCACTCTCTCGCCCTCGTGAGCGTATACACTAACTCACATACACTACCACTCCATCACGAGAAAACACACCACACAACATAAAGTAAACTTTATTCAAAATGTTATAATTAAAGTCAAAAGAAATATTTAGCAAATCACCATGAAATTTCACTTGAGTGGAACTCCATCTGTTAGCTTGGTTGATAACTTCTGAGAATTGACTGGCGAATGTCATCGCTAACGCCGTATTCATCCCAACAGCTCTTCACCATCTCTTCATCCGGTGGGAAGTGATCCCCAATACCACAGCTTATTTTCAACACATCTCGTAGACATTGTTCACAAGGCATATATCTCTCATCACGAATCACACGCAAAATATCCTCCCAACGTTCACTGTAGTCGAAATAGTGCTTCTCACGCGTCTCTCCATTCACAGACAACTGAGGATACAGCATCAGTTCACTTTCCGGCTCAAAGATTCTGAGATATGTGATGAGTCGACCGAACAGGTTGTTCGCTGTGTCGGTAGTTGTTGTCCTCGGTGAACCGGTCAAATATTCACCATCTGTGTGGTAGTGGAATGGATCATCAATTATTTGACGGTGAAGCCTTCGGAGATCATTCAGTTCATGGAGATTCTCAAACAAGGGGATGCATACAGATCGAACCATCCTGTTGGCGATAGCGTAGGCGATTCGAGTGTATGTGAAACCAGCTGGTACTTGATAGAAATATTTACCGACATCCAGTTTCTTGAGTGACTGATTGTTGTAACCAATCGCCTTCACAGATCTGATTGGATGATGAAGCTGTCGGTGTTCCGTCGCCATACGGAAAACAACCAATTTCGAGACCCATCGACCAGTGATCAGCATCGCCTTCTCCTTATCACCCTCATCTGTCAGACCATATTTCTCCATCACACCACTTCGAAGTATTCGCCACGCGTAGCTGTCCCTCCGAAAGCCACTCGGTGTGTAACACCTCTCCTCAAAGTAGTTCACAACAGCCGCCATCATCACTGAGATGCATGCATTCATCATCTCTCCTCTCACAACATCTCTCATCTCGGAACTACTCGCCAAATTCTCCACTGTCCAACAGCCATAACTCCAATTTCCATCCTCACGACCATTTGAACATACATCATCCGGTAGTGATATATATTCGCTTGTGGCTTCTTCAGGAGAAGCTGTGTTTCCACCTGCATCTCCCTCTGTTGACGTCGTCAACTCTCCCAGAAGTCCATGGAGAATCACCGCTAACGCTGCATTCGTCAGCCACACACGCAGTGCTTGTGATGCACACTGACCAACAGATTTGTACACATGAGCAGCCGCTGTCACACCAAACCTCATCCATAATTTCTTCGCTTCAATCGGATCCACACCATCATCAACTTCGGGAAGAAACATTTTGTCAAGCACCAAGACGAATTCGCGCTTTGTCCAATCACAAGAAACATCTGATGGTCCACAGTCGAAATCGTCATCAAGTCTCATGTTGTGCGTCACAACACTAGCCAGTTCATCGATCAATCTCTCCATCTGATTTCGAATGTGCAAAATTTGTCAGTGTATATCGTTGATGCGAATGGGGAATTGTGAATTCGTGCGAGTTTGATAATTAATGTGGGTTTGTGTGTATTTGAACAGCCCATCATCACGTCAGTCCACCAATGAGATGTCACTTTCAACCAAACCAATCAAATATGACTGAGAGTTAAGCTAGCGTGTGATTTGTTATACTCGTTTATGTACGATCAACCAGGGGATTGTTCAGGTGATGTTTAGGGGGATAGAAGTGAGTGGGATGAATCACTGAGTGGAGAATGTTATTTATCCATTGAGTGAATTGATATTAATAATTTGAAAGTAGGTCAGTTGTTTTCACATTGCGAACAATTTGATCCAGCACACACGAACTTTTCATAAGAATGTATATGAAACTATTAAAGTGTTAAGCGGTGAGAATATAGACTCAGGTCAAGTTAAAAGGACATATTGAAAGTCAAAATAACAATGAAGATCACTAAACCAAATGAAAAGGTAATAGTGCATCTCATATGAACTGTGATCAAGATTTGATCGGATAGTTGCAAAATAATTGAGCGTTGAGTGAGAAGTAGACATTTTGTAATAGTACATCTGTCATGATATCAAATGAAAGTTGACTAACTTGATCATCTTTCGTCTGTCTGGAGTCATTTTTCGTTGTCAAGTCGGCCAGTTGTTAAAGATAACAAAACCAAGTGTAGATTGTTGGATTTGATCAGTGTGTAAACTTATCAAAGCAGCTTGTGTGTTTTTGCATAGTGAATTTGCTCATCACATTCGTGTTGATTTTGTCACTTGACGGGGGAGGGAGGTGTTGTAACCATGTTAAATTCTGTTTTAGTCTATCATTCCTATTCAGACAATTTGGATTCCACTTGATATGAAGTGCTTTTGATGAAATGAGACGTTCTTTGTGATTTCTGAAATGCTTTTTCTGGATGATGATTTCAATATTGTCAAAATCAATTTTGTGGTCTGATTCTATAGCCCAGCGTGTTGAGGACCACAGCTGATGATTTTTGAAGCTTTTCTAGTTCAACCGGATTTCTCGGTGGTCAAAGAGATGTGGCTTTACAGTGCTCATTTCTTCTGTTTGTCCGATGTAGATCGCATCACATTCCAAGCAGGTATTTTATTCTATAGACACAATTAGATAGAGTATGTTCACTGATTTGGTCTTTTATATCGACAAGGTTACTTTGCAGTGTGTGTGTGTGTGTCTGATGTTTCGAAGAAACTCTAATGTCGAGCTGATTGAATACTCTTCTGACATCGTGTGACGTCTCTGCTATATATGGAATGACGACGATAAATTCCGGTTTAATAATACTTCGACAAAGCTATTAGCGTTAAATAGCGAAATGTCAGTAAAAACGACAATATCGTTTTGTTTTTGATTCATTGGGAAATACAAGAAAACCTTCATTATAATGAATGTCATATACCCAATGCCCAAATTTTTTCAAAATGGTAAAAGTGAACTTGGTTTGGACATAAATAAGGTAATAGTACATCTAATCTGGCTGGTATCAAAACAAAGTTTACCAAGGCAGGCTTATTGTGATGACAAATCGCTTTTGAACGCATAAGGTGGTTTGAACTTTCTGATTACTAGGGCTTACACAAACTCTTCGAAATTCCCCAAACACCTCTGATTGATAGACTTAAAAGGGGTGCAGACATCGATTGCATAACGTGCCTGCTATGTAATGCGTTTCGCAATAGAGGAGCTAAGTCATCTCTTCTCACCATTAATGGCCTCTGAATATTCCATTCGCTTATAAAGCTAGTCCTTGCTTGTAGAGATCGATGAGTCCTCCCTGTTTGCGTGTGTGTGTGTGTCCACACATACATTCAAGTTGGTGAATACAGTGGGATGTGACATCATTTTTCGCATGTTCAAAGGGCTTAGATGAATATATTGGCTTCACATTCTCAATTATTATGATATCAGCTGCATAAAAGGTCGTTTTAACAGCAGTTCAATAGTTTACACACAATGATAAGTTTTCTTCTTGGTAATATGTCCAGCAAAATTACTGTCCGTGCTCACACCACTGTTGGAACTGTTTTGTATTTTAATCAATAATTGCAATTACACACAAGCATACAATGTGATGATGGGATAAATTAACAGTTTTAAAATCTTATATAACAATAGGGTGGAGGGAGAGATTGATAATAGCGGAAGCTTTGTTTATCGAATCAACTGGAAATACGTGTAATGAGAATGATTCAACATCTGTACACATAGATATCTGGAAAATTCTACTACCCCAACAACGACAAATAGGAGAGAAAGAAGAAAACAATAAAACTGAAGATTCGAAGTCGTGTGATTATTACTGATGAAATGATTATGAACAGCAATAAATTTTGTTCGAAACGTCATCCAGTAAATAATAAATCAAGGATGAACATGTCATAATAATATCGGAAAGCGAATGACAATTTCCTGATGATATCATTTACAGGACGATTTTCTAGTTTCCTTGGAAAGAAATCCTCTAACATGGTACCCTGTGGAAAGCCCGACGGTGAGAAGATGGCTAACGAAGGCGAAGATGGTGGTCAGCGTGATGATGATGCTGATGACGACAAAAATGGGAGTGATTGGAGTTCCCCGACTGTCCGACAGTCAGACGAAGAATCACCACCATCAACAAAGACGTAAGTTCCGGATGGAAGTTGGATTTATGGCGACTGGAGAGACAGTAACATTGCCAGTACTGAGGAGATGGAGACAGTCATACAACCAGAAATGTTGGATGACTGTGTCACAGTGATAATTGCATCAGTCATCTGCTTCTTCCGTCAAGGTCAACACATTCCCCATCGAAGAAATGTGGACTACCTAATGCAAATCATTCAGAGTAACATGATGAATAGATATGGAGTAGTTGAGGAGTGTGACAAACTCTTCCTCATGTATACAACTGGCAGGTGGATATCGAAATTGAACATTTTAACGTCGGTCATGAAACACTGGAATAGTAGGACTAAAGTACGTGCTGTACGTACATTCGGTCTAGGAGTGGTATATATGCCTGAAATCATAATCGAATGCTTTCATGGTGTACCAGGTGGATGGGCTGATGTCTATCTAGTCGACTGTATCGCTGAGAAGTTGGTCAAATCAAGATGTATAAAATACTTCAGTGACTACACGTCTTTGATATCACACAGGAGATTAGTTCACACACTTTCTAACGATCCAATATACCACCTGTCACACAGAGAGTAAATCACTAACAGATGAGAAATGTTACACTGAGAAAGCCAATATTCCGTGTTTGTATGGTCGACTAATCACCTTCTTGAAGTATGCTGAAGCTGACAGCGAATTGTTCACCTATCCTCAATTGAAGATTTTCGGTGAGACACGTGAACAATACTACGAGGATTACTGTGCGAAATGGGAGTCCATAGTGAAGTATATTTACTCGAGAGATATTGATTCCTCTCATGTCTTTGATTCTGATCTACTGGAGGATGGTGAACTGAAACAATTCAATCTTGTACATGATTGTGACGGAAATCTCCTCAATGTGTGTTTTCAAGTTTATGGTGTACATACATAGTTTATACTTGTATTTGTATTTGTTTCTTTAATATAATATAATCTGTTATCCTGAGTTAATTCCTACCTCATTTCGACTCATTACACTGCATCGAGTTGATACGTCTCTTTTGACACGTCGCCTTCTGTGATATCTGGAGATTATGGAAATGTTGTTTGGTTGTTGTTGGCTTGATGTGAAATCCAATGATTGTCGTTTTGTCGCGTTTTTCACTTCTCAGTTGGGCATCCCATTGCCATCTCCACACTTTCTAAGGAGTCGATCAGGTATGGAATGACTGAGCAAGAGAGGTCAGTGGATGGAACTATTGCAAGGTATTCTCTGCTTGACTTAGTTTCTTTCTATTTCAGTGTCCTCTATACTATAAGCATCTTATGAGCGGACCAGTTCGTGTGGATCACGTTCACGCTTGAATGTGAAGTAGGCTGTCTGACACCAAGGGGAATTCGTCGTGATATCATTTAGATTTCAACACTGTCACCTATCAGACGGAAAGTTATTCATTTTCAAATATATCGTCGTCACCATTTCTCTTGATGAATCCATTCAATTCGACACTTATCTACTCTGCTGACAACTTGATTTCTCCAAATGCTTCCGTTAGTTATTTCTCCTTGTGCTGTGTAGAGTGAGGCGGAAATCAGTTGACATGTAGTATTACATGTCGAGAATTCCACACATGATCGCAGATAGTCTTCTCAATGGGAGTATTATCAATGTCAGTATTGAACATTTCGGATTGTGAGGATTAGAGAGGTTTTGTGTGTATTTCGGATTGTGAGGGCGATTGTTACTTCCCGGCTGCCCACACCGTGGAAGTTGGTTGCGTGACCGCAGAGCCCAGGGGGAAACCGCTTGAGGCCGGTCATATGCGACCTGTTTTTGTTTGTTCTCTTTTGTTTGGTGTGTCTCAGTAGCATACTTATCACTCCTGCCCTGTGACACGGCAGCAGGAAGCGCGGTAGTTGTTAATCCGGGCCACGGCCGATCCGGCATGAAATTTTGTGAATTTGTTTGAATCATGGTATTGGATGGGGTAGCTGCTTTTTGTTTAACCGCAATCCAAACAACCTTCCTGGCATGGCAGAAACTCAAGAGGCATACGTCTCAGCCAGTATAGCTTGATTAGGTCATTGCGGTGTTCAAGTCCGCCACCACGTCAAGGTAGCAGCTTTTGGTCGGGTATTGAACATGGATTCATGGAATCAGAAAATATGGTAAAGCGTAGTCTAGGAAAGACAGGAAGACTGTTGAGGCAATCATTGTTTTCGACAGAGTTACAGATGATTTTGTGGATTGGAGAAGTGGTGGATGGATGTGTGAAGGACACTGTCGCTTTCCACCATGTGTGAGTGTGGGTGTGGAGAGTCACCTTCTCCTTTCGAGCTAGTTATGTTGTCACCACCAAACTGCTCACAATGTCCAAACGAATCTCACAACATTGTCGGGCATGGTTATGAAGAGGATAATGCGAGTTGACCAGGTGGGTCCACAGGAGTTCCCTCTTATAATTGTCGATAACCTGAAGTCAAACAATGCAACAACAGCAACAGGAATAGCAGTAACAAGTGGTGTTGTTATTCGTGAATCTCGTATTCACGAGATGCAAGTGACTCGTCAATAATACTCCGAACACCTTCGAAATCCTTTCAGAATATTCTCATCCTTTCATTTGAAAAGTGTCAATCTCGTTCATAGGAGAGATTCGTCGACTATATATCACCGGTATATAGCTAGCTGTACAG